ACAGATTTATCTGTTTATAAAAAGCATATCAAGATGGACATCTGATCTGAATAACACTGCTTGAGCAACTCAGCTTTGCCCAAGTTTGACACACAAATGTAAACTGCACAGAGGAAAGTTTGGATTTCCAAAGCACAGACCATCAAACTGTATTTAAAATTAAAAACGGCTCTGCTCAATACTTTGGCACTACACTTATGGTTCTGCTTAGATACATATGACACATTTAAAATCTTTAAATTTCAAATCTGAACAGAAATCGGATTTTGCTATAACGTATTGTAATTGTGTTTTGTTGTTTTCGTTAAGTAATTTGTCACGGCCTGCATGCTAAAGGAATACATTGAATTCAAATTCAAAAAAATTCAATACACTAACAGGAATGTCATGAGATGCACAAATAATTACCACTGTTACTTACTGTATCGATCCAAATTAAAGTTATATGCACAGTTCAGCTCTCATAATGACCCCTCTGAATTCCTATTATCTTTTGTTCTCACCCTGTTACAGATACAGTTGTCATAGAGATGCAGTCAAAATGACCTTCCAGCTCATTATGTTTTGGGATGCTTATCACACAGAATTCAGCCCTCACATTTTTGAATCTGCATTCCTCATGAACTGTGACTCTTCTGATGATTAACACTGCAAACAAAAACTACTGTACTTCTAAATATTAAGGTCCGTTCACTATAGAAGAGTTGTTTTTAGAACATCCCTGTGGTAAGACTGTCTTGTTTGCTCAACCATGTTTTTCTGCCAACTCCTACCACATTCAATGTGTGTGCTGTGCACCAAATGCAACTTTATAAACAGCGCTAAGAAAGTCGCTTTTAAGAATAATGTACCTAACAACATGCTGAGGCCATCAACCTCTGGGCTCCTGAGCATCTCTGAACGGCAAAGCTGGAAGGAACGTAAAGGGTAATGGAGTCCAACGCCCTGCTGTTGCAGATAATCTACAGCACTTCTAACTGATGGCCACCCCAGCCTTTGTTTCAAAAACTGAAACACAGGAGTCCTCCACCTCCTGAGGTAGTTCTGCATACTGCCAAACAACACTATCGGGAAGTTCATTTTATGGTTAATGTTTAATTTTTAAAAATGGTTTCTACTAATTTGAACCCATTAGTCCAGCTCCTACTTAGTACATCCTACCATTCTGGATCACATGGGCATGTCATTACGTTTAAAAGTAGTTCATTTTATGGTTAATGTTTAATTTTTAAAAATGGTTTCTACTAATTTGAACCCATTAGTCCAGCTCCTACTTAGTACATCCTACCATTCTGGATCACATGGGCATGTCATTACAGTAAGTTTAAAAGTAACTTCCCATGCTTTCAAACATGGGCCACTAGAAGAGCTGCAGATTCCCAAAAAGGAAGCAAGGACACCAATTATTGTGTGTGGGACCTCAACTCACACATCACAGGTTGGAAATGTTGTCAGACTGCAACTTCTAGCAGACAATGTGAGGGAATATGGGAGTTTCCCCAGCCCTGCTACAGGGAAATAGATTATGAACATCTGCCCTTGGCTCAAAGGCTCAAGCCTTCACTTCAGGTATTTGGCGGAACTGTCAGGCAACAGAAACCAGGGCACACATTTTATGTGGCACCACCCACACCTGTAGAATGTCTGAAGCTATTTTCCGCTCATTTACATAAGAACATAAGAAGAGCCATCTGCTGGATCAGGCCAAGGGCCCATCTAGCCCAGTTTCCTGTGTCTCACAGTGGCCCCACCAGATGCCTCTGGGAGCACATGAGACAGTTAGATATCTGTCTCCTGACATCACTCCCCTGCATCTGGCATTTGGAGGTCCCTTCCTTTTAAGCCTGGAGATTATACATCCCCATCATGGCTCTGTAACCTGAGATGGACTTTTCCTCCAAGAATCTGTCCAATCTAGGCTAGATGCCATCACCACATCCTGTGGCAAGGAGTTCCACAGACGAACAACACGCTGGGTAAAGAAATATTTTCTTTTGTCTGCTCTCACTCCCCCAACACACAATTTGAGTGGATGTCCCCTGGTTCTGGTATTATGTGAGAGGGGAAAGAGGTTCCCTCTATCCACTTTATCCATCCCCTGCATAATTTCATACATCTCAATCATGTCCCCCCTCAGGTACCTTTTCTCTAGACTAAAGAGCCCCAAATGCTGTAGCCTTTCCTCATAAGGGAGGTGCTCCAGCGCAGTCATCATTTTAGTCACTCTCTTCTGCACCTTTTCCAGTTCTACTATGTCTTTTTTTGAGGTGCATCAAGCAGAACTATACGCAATACTCCAGGTGCGGCCTTATCAGCGTTTTGTACAGTGACATTATCATGTTGGCTGTTTTATTTTCAGTCCCTTCTTTAATGATACCTAGCATGGAATTGGCTTTCTTCACTGCCGCCACACATTGGGTTGACACTGTCATCGAACTGTCCACCAGCATACCAAGATCTCTTTCCTGATCCGTCATGGATAGCTCAGAACCCATCAGCTGATTTTCTGCCCCAAAAATTTACATTTTCTTATATTGAAACGCATTTGCTATTTTGCCACCCATTATCCAAGTTTGGAGAGATCCTTCTGGAGCTCTTCACAATCCCTTCTGGTCTTCACCACCTGGAAAAGTTTCGTGGCATCTGCAAACTTGGCCACCTCACTGCTTATCCCTGTCTCCAGGTCATTTATGAAGAGGTTGAAAAGCACCAGTCCCAGGACCGATCCCTGGGGCACATCGCTCTTCACCTCTCTCCATTGGGAAAATTGCCCATTGACGCCTACTCTCTATTTTGTAGTTCTCAACCAATTCTCAATCCAGAAGAGGACTTGCCCTCTTATCCCCTGGCTGTGGAGTTTTCTCAGCAGCCTTTGGTGAGGGACCACGTCAAATGCCCTCTGAAAATCCAGCTAGACAAACAATATCTACTGGTTTGCCCGCATCCATATGCCTGTTGACCTTTTTGGACCACGTCAAATGCCTTCTGAAAATCCAGCTAGACTAACAAAAGCCTGTTGACTTTTTCAAAGAATTCTAAAAGGTTTTGAGGCAAGTCTTACCCTTACAGAAGCCATGCTGATTTTCAGTCAGCAAGGCTTGTTTTTCTATGTGTTTTAAGATTTTATCTTGGATGAGGCTTCCCACCATCTTCTCTGGAATAGGTGTTAGGCTAACCAGCTTGAAGTTTTCTAGTTCCCCCTCCTTCCCTTTCCTATATTTTATAAACATATTATCCCCTAAGAAAACCTCTGCTTTTTTAACTCCCTTTTTTGGAGCAAGAAAACAGTATCAAAAGTCTCATGCTTTTTATTGTAGCAAACACAGTTTTTCTGTTATACTGTATACAGTAAGCTGAAATGTGCACCTCAACTACAAGAAAAAAAAGCTATCCAGCAAATGCTTATCTGTACTCAATCTGCTCTTCAGTCTTTTGAGGAAGTTTGTTCTGTCATAAATACAAATAAAGTCATTTTTTATCCACAACAAAACCACAATATTTCCCATTCACTTCCCTTATTCTTCACTCTCTCTGATTAAAACAGTAAGAGCTCCGGAACATCTTTGTTAACACTAGGAGGGAATCGTGTTTCAAATGGCTCATCACATTTTGAATTAATTAGCAAGCAACCTGCTAAATTAATGAAGGAGGCAGGCAAGGTAACAACTGGCCAGAAAGAAACACAGCACAAGCATTGTCTTGTGGAACCATGTCTCCTTAGGTTAAAAACATTTTCTGTTTTCCAATTGTTATAAACTTCTTGAGAAGCAGATACTATCACAAATTGTAAGGCTAAAAAAGCATCCGCTTCATAATTGCTGTTATTTATTTAATTGCTGTTCCACCCCAGGCATAAGAGTAACTAAAAATCTGCATTAAAACACACAATAAAATCACACATTGCAAATATCTAAAATTATGAACCTATAATCACATTACACAAGTAAAGTAAAGCATTGTACTCCCTCCTGGGCAAACAACAGAATATAAAATATCACTTTCTCCTTTCTATATGATCACTTCAAGTAGGCCAATTGAAAGGAGCGAAGTACTTTTTTCCAGAACCGGAAGTGTCAACTTTTATTTAGGTCAAAAGTTCTTCAGCCACTCCCAATCACTAGCACCTCCTACAAAGAGCAATTATTGCATCTAAGCAGAGGCCAGTAATTGACCTGCAACAAGGGCCACCTATGGGCTCCATCACAGAGATATAGATCAAAATGCACTGAAGGAATAACAAAATGAGTACCTGTCACATAAAACATTAGGTATGGCACATAAACACGTGCATATACATTGGACTGGATACAGCTGTAGTCCTGTTTCGAACAAGATACTGGATCAACACGACTTTACAGAAGCCTTGACTATGGTGATACCTGTAAGTTTCAGTGGGTCTACTCTAAGTAAGAATATGGATCCAATTCAACTTATTCACTGGGTACATAAAAAGGGGGGGTACCGAGTGTACACGAATAAATCTTGTATATATTTATAATATTTAGAAAGAGCAATTGAGTCTAAGGTTTGTGCGTATGGGAAACTGCTGGAGTCAGCGTTTATGGAAGCGGTCCTCGGAAGGGATGGGGCGGCTACAACTTCTCAAAACAAAACTTCCACGTCGTTTAAAAGAGAGGGGGAAGAAACTCTCTCTCGGTGGATCCGAATCGTTCACCTCGGGGAAAGCCAAACAGAATTCACAGCATCCCCGTCCCTGCAACCACGGACCCCACCAGGAGGGGGGAAAAAAACAGAAGAAGTCAGAAGAAACCCTGGGAAAGTAAGCAAGGCGAAGCCGCAACGGGAGAGGGAGAAGCGCGCAGAGGCCGGCCGGCCGGCCGGCAGGGGAAGGAAGGAGGGAGGGAGGGAGAGAAAGCAACTCCGGGTGAAATCCAGGGAGGGAGCCCTGAAATGCTGGGGGAAACGAGGGCATCGCCCGCCCGGCCACCCACTTGCCACAGTAGAGAGAAGGGAGGGAGGCCAACCCGTGCCCAGTTTACCTGCCTTCGTCGCAGCCGCCGCAGCTCCCCGTCCGTCCCCAGCTGATGCCGATGATGCCGACTCGGCCCCCTTCGCTGCGCGGCTCCGGCGGCTCCCGACTCCGCCCCCGCCTTCCCCCGGGAGCCAAGTCCGCCCGGGCTGGGATGACGGGGAGGTGGTGGTGAGCAGGGCCTCCGCTGACGTCACAGCCAGCCGGCCGCCGGGAAAGCGAGAGCTGGTGCCGGCCCGAGCAGCTGCTGCTCCTGCTGCTGCTAGACCGCACTGTACTTGGTCCTTGTCAGAGTCCCATGCCAAAAGCTGTGGAGCATGCGCCTCAGATGGGCTCTCGCTCTCGCTCTCTCTCTCTCTCTCTCTCTTCCTCAAGGCGCATGCTCCGTGGTAGCAAGGAAGCCGGTTGCCTTTCCTATGTGCTGGTCGGGAAAGTTTCACTAAAAGCCTGGAAGGAAAAAAAAATGGTCATATTCTGTGAGGGGAGAAAACCCGCTGGATAAAAGGGGCTCCTGAGGGGCCAAGTAAACTCAGGCCTTCTTATTGTAGGCACTGGCCTACGTATCCTTGTCCCAAGAGAGGTGTAGGGGGAATTTGGTCCTCCAGCCCTTTGGGACTTCAGCCACCCCAATTGCCCAGGCCAGCCTGACCAGGGTTATTAAGGGTTTGTGGGAACTTGAGTCCAAGCCCTCTGGAGGGCCACAGGTTGATCCCCAGAGTGTGGCTAAGCGTGACGCGGGGCTTCGAAACGTTAAAAAAGTGTGGATGATATAGTGTCGGTCTCCAGTGACACATCCTTATAACTTCACGATCTTTTCTACATTAGTTCCTTCATTGCTTCTCTTCCAAGTCTGTCTTAAGATTTTTGTGGGGTTCAGTCTATTCAGATTTATGGTTGGACCAACTGTCTACATTAGTTCCTTCATTGCTTCTCTTCCAAGTCTGTCTTAAGATTTTTGGGGGGTTCAATCTATTCGGATTTATGGTTGGACCAACTATACAAAATCTTTCACTATTTCAATTTCTTTATCATTGACATTAAAGTGGTGTGCGTAGTTCTTCTGTAGTCATGATTTTTATGTTCTTAATGTTCAAGCATAGTCCTGCTTTGGCTCTCTAAAAGTTATTTCAAGTCATTGCTGTTTTCTTCCGCTAAGATAGTGTGACAGAATCATAGAACGAAGTTCCACCAATTCTCGCTCCTCCTTCATCTGAATCTAGGACATTATAGAATGATTTTGTCATTTCAGTGTATTTTTGTATGTAAAAGTAAAAATGTTAATTAGGTTACAAGTGAAGATCATATCTGACTGAGTATGTTTCTGTTTTTGGAGGACATTTTATTTATTTTCTAAAACAGGTTTCTGAGGTTCTTTCCACTTTTTTTTTGTCTGCCCCACAGGAGTGGAAAAATTCCTTCCCAACACAAATTTCTAACATAATAATATATACACTTAGACTACATACTAAGGGGAAAGGGTGAATGTATAACATATATTTTCATTGTAAAAATGCACGGAATGGAAGATCAAAGAAGCAGATAATGGTAGTCTAAAGAGAGTATGGGTGATAATATCCAGTGCCCAGTCCAGAGTTTCCTGTTATTGAAACAAGTTCTGGAAAAAAATTCTTTACATTTTACTCATGTGACACAGAAGTGTCACTCTTCGTTACCATAGCTGACCTGCACATTTTTTTCAAATTAATGGTGGATAGTAGTATCTGATCTGAGGCACAGGGAGGCAGCCATGAAATAACACTTCCATCTCTAATATGATGCTGGCTTCCCTATAATGGGTGCTGGAATTCCACTGTCTGGCTTTTCTAACACTGACAAAGCAGTGACCGGAACCACAGGACATACAGTACAGAACCCATATCTAAAAAAAATTCTGAAAGAGTTTAAAGAGAATTGCACTGATTGCTGCCTAATTTAAACATGTTCATGCTATGTGGGCACCATTTTAATGCCAAATCAATATATGCAAAATATTTGTGGATCAGAGTTCAGCTGGGTTATGGATCTCTATTTTACAGTAGACAGTTTACACTGTTTTAATGTTTTGAAATTGTTTTACCTCTTCTGAATTTGTTTTACTGTTAAATGGTCTAGTGATGTCTAAATCATACCTCAGCATCACCCTAGATCCTTGGATATAGGACAAGATAGAAATTAAGTGAGCACAAACACAGTCCTATCCAATTTGTATCCAAATATTTGCTATACATAGGTCCAAGCTGATTCGGAGTGGCCTGAACTGACTTGTTCTCAGGTTTCTGCAGATATCTATATGAATTTGTGTGTCTCCAGATGGGGAAAAGGAAAACCCTGAAAATGTTGAAAATAAAAGGGCTATGACTTCGGATGAGTGGCACAACACAGTGCTATCAACTGTGGAAATTTGCTGGATTTTCAATTAGTAGTGAAAGCTCCTAATAGCTTCCTTCTTCTGTTCTGTCTCCTCATCCTCTACAACAACTGTACAAGCTGCTGCCTTTCCATAAGTTCACTTTGCATTAGCTAGCACCAGGCATTTGAAAATAGAATAGGATGCTGGAGCGATATACAGTAGTTCTCATTGCAACCCTAACCTGACCAATCAAAGTTTAAACAACTGTGTCAGTCATCCATCCTACGTTCACACAGTTGTCAGTGTAATGAAGCCTCAGTGTGGCTAACCTAAAGAAAAGAAAATTCCAGGATTCAACAGGTGTAATAAATAATCTACAACTCTGCCATGCATGCATGAAGGCAAAATGGCTAGCGAAGTGGATATGTGGATTAAATGGGGTTGGGTGGGGTTGATCTGGGCCCTCTCCAGACTTGAGTGACAAGTTTCTAGGAGAGGTTTCTTGTAAGCTCCAGCTGTCAGTCTCCTTTTATTCATGTGTAGTTCTTTTTTGTAGAGCAACTGGCACCAAGACTTTTTGCTGAAATTTCATACTTTAACTCTTTAAACTCTGGAGTGAGTGCCAGTGATTTATAGGGGTGCCCTAACAACCCAAACATGACTGGCCCGAACTGCCCTGTATCTGCTCCAGTAATGTACAAATAGACTCATTTGGACAGCTTTTTTTCAGAAGTGAATGCAGATCCTGAATAGAAATGTTTCACTAAACAAAAACAAGAAAGATCAGGTTTTCAAATTCTGAATGGTTTCACTTCAGGTTTTGTATTTTAACAGTTTCAAAGGTGAGGTCTGGGCAGGGCTTTTACAATCAGCTAGACATGCTTCACTAATTGCATTGCTCATCCGCATAGCGTGCTTCCAGTATTTGTTTTGAGGTGAAGAAAACATAAACTGCTTCTTGCTGGGCAATTAAAGCTTGAAGAAAACATAAACTGCTTCTTGCTGGGGCAATTAAAGCTAATCAGGTCACTCCCATTTGCCTTATTCCTTTGTCATATTCTCCTGACAGGACAGGTTTCCTCCTTTGAGAAAGACTTTGATCTTGGAGACAAGGAAAACTGCATTCACAAAAACCAAATGGTGCTGCAAT